CCGTCACCATGGTTCCCCGTCGAGGGCAGGGCTCGGTGTGCTAACCCGCCCTCCGATTGGCCAACGCCGGCCGGTCGGTTGCGGTGCAGCAGCCGCCGGAGCGCGCGCAGGGTGGGGGGTGAGGGGGGAGTCTGACCGTCGCCAGTGCGCATGCTCGCCAGCCGAGCGCGCGGGGCGGCTCCGGGCAGGCGCGTGCGGGGCCTGGCGCGTGCACGGCTGCGGGGCCCGGCCCGAGGGCTGCGGCGTCTTGGTCCTGCCCCGGCCTGACCCCGCCAGGTGTGGACTAGGTAATCACACGTGGGTGCACACGCGGAGCCCTTGCGCGTGGCGGCGCCACGCGGAGCGTTAGACCTCTGCCAGCTAGCTCGCGTCGCCTGGCTTCCGACTCTCTCGAGGAGACTCGTTTGCACGTGTGGCCCTTCGACTGCTTCCGTAAATACCTCTGCGCACAAGTAGGGGTGCATAGCACGCGACTCCTTGGAAAGAGCCTTAGGCCTGGCCCTGCAGCGGCCGGCCCTGCGCACACACTCACGCACGCCTCGGCCCGGCAGGACGTGCGTCGTGGTGCAGTGTGCTGTGCTGCGGACCGCCTGTCCCAGTGTCCCACTCCACGGGTCGCCAGCCGCACTCGCGGCTCTGCCGCACACCTGGGCACTTCCGCTGCGCGCCCCCCACGGCCACAAGAGTGCCTTCCCACCCGGCGGGAATGATGCGTCTTCCTGACTGCGCCCCGCACCAGGGTCTAGTCCCCTGCCTGACTTTTTCAAGTGACATTTAACAAGCGGTTCCATGTGGGGTGAGAAAGGGGAGCTTTGTAGTTCCAGGCGACATATGCCAGAAAATCTGACTTAGGGACAAAGAAGAGCTAGGGAACTGGGTCAGGAGAGAAGGAGCCTCCAAGGGCCACCAAGGCCTGAGGTGAGGGCAAGCGTGGCACTGCAGTGGAACAGATCGTCAAAACGAGATATTTGGGTGCCCCCTTAAGACCGCTGTACAGGGCTCTGTCACACTCTTGACATCTGAAGGTCTTTTATCTTAAATTTGAACAGCTGCATAAGGAAGCTCTGATGAGCTATAAATACCCTTTTAAAATTAAAGTGTCAGCAGATGTCTTTTCTAAGTGGCCCAGCAGGTTGGAAGCACCATGGTGATTTCATGCCCACCATCGTCCCTTTTGAAAATACTTTAACCTTTTAACCTTTAGCGCCTTGGAAATTTTACATCAATTGTTTTTGTCCTTGAAAACACTTTTGTTGTTGTTGTTGTTGTTGTTGTTGTTGTTGTTGTTGGGACCAGGGGTCAAACTCAGGACCTTGCACTTGCCAGGCAAGCACTTACTCCACTGAGCTATCTCCCCATTCCCTGCAAACACTTTTCAATTCCACTTCTACCACAATTCTTGGTGGACTGTGCTTCTGTACATCAGAACCTCTTATGGAGAGGACTACCCCACGAGAGTGCTAAGAGTCAGGATTTCTTCTGGATTGTGAGGTCCTCCGCACCACCCAGTTTCATCACTCCATCACATCTAATTGGGTTGTAAGTAAGAAAAATGTTGGAAATTAATCTTTTTTACTGCTTTATTTGAAAGAAATTGGCAGAATATTTGTTAGTGTTCTTGGGTTTTTTATATATTTATTTATTTTGGTACTAGGGATGGAACTCAGGACCTTATGCCACTGAGCTACCTCCCCAGCCCGGTGTCCTTGTGTTGTTATCTTTCTGCCTCTAATCGGCACTGTATAGGCTGGTAAGACTTGAGGGGCCCAGGTCAGAAGTCAGGGTCCCGGGGCATTTCAGGAAGTTTCAGGAAGACTAAAGATCTGAAAATTGAATCCTTGAAGGCATTTGTGACATCATTCCATATTCTCCTGGCTAGTCTATACCAAAAGAGAAGTCAGGTGGATTTCATTATAAAATACACATTTTATTTTTGTTTATTTATTTATTTATTTATTTATTTTTGGCAGAACCAGGGATTGAGCTCAGGCTCTACTGAGCTATCTCCCTGGCCCCTAAAATACACATTTCAAAAAGTAACAACACATAGTAGGAAAATAAATCACTCGTTTTATACCCTTGAGATAGAGATCTCAGTAGGGCTCATCCTAAAACCACTAATTTCAATAAATACTGGCCCCCAAAGCTCTTGCAGTCTCCCCAGAGCACTGATGAGAGGCAGCTCCCCCCAGGGTGGTCTGTCAGAGGCAGCTGTCATCTCCTCCGTGGTAACAGAGAGGCCGAATCTGAGTGCAGTTGTCACAGGAAGGAACACAAAGACCCTAAGCTTCAGTGCCTAATGGCTGCTTCAGGTCCTGGCCACGGCTCTGCTTCTCCATAGTTTGTTTCCATCCATACTATTATTTATTGTTTGTCAAGTACAACAAGAAGGCATTCTTGGGCTGGGGAGATGGCTCAGTGGTCTAAAGCACCTACTTAGAACAAGCTTGGCAAAGCACAGGGACCGCGGTTCAATCCCCCA